TTCTCATGCAATAGTATGTGGATCAAGAGCCCATTTAGAAAAAGAAGAAACTGCCAAAAGAACTTTTTTTCGATTGTTATTAATGCATGGATTCCATTTCTTAGTATGGTTTTGGGGTGTAAGAGGTATTAAAGATACACAATGTGGTTTTAAACTTATAACACGTGAATCTGCAAGAGCTGTATTTCAAGCTTTACATATTGAACGTTGGGCATTTGATGTAGAAATGTTATATATTGCAAAAATGTTAAATATTCCTATTACGGAGATTCCTGTGAACTGGACAGAAATTGAAGGATCCAAAATTGTACCCTTCTGGAGTTGGTTACAGATGGGAAAAGATTTATTTTTTATTTGGTATAAATATAGAATTGGAGCATGGAAAATAAAAAGATTTAAACAAATGTAAAAACAAATGCAACTCAAAATATTTATAAATAATTCTATTCAATATATGTACTTTTATTTGATTCACATTTTTCCATTAAAATTAGAAAGATATCATATTTGATATATAAAAATATTTTTCCTTTGTAAGGAAAATTTATGAACGATTAAAACAATTTTTATTTTACACAATCAGAGAGGAAATTATAATGAATTATCATTAATGTTTTTAAAACTATTTAATATTGTAAATTAATTTAATTAACAAGGTATATTACCTCTATTTTATATTTATTCTTTTAATGTGTTTTAATATGTTATAACATGTATCATAATTTTGTAAACAAATATTTTCGATTCAATTAATAAATTCATTAAAATTTTAAAAGAAGTTTCTAGTAACTTTTCTTCTATCTCTGATTAACTAGTAACTACACATATATATATATAGATGAATATATTATCATAAATACTATATATATAATATAGTATAGTCGTGCATTTAATACTACACGATTTCTTAATGGTATGACGTGTTTGTGACGTTTTATTTCTAAGAAATTTTTTACGAATCCAATTTATATTATATTACCATTAGTTACTGTAATTAATTGTAAAGTGACATTAAGTAAAATAACTATTGAATTATTTCAAATTTTATACTTAAACGTTAATTTAAAGATGTCATTTGTATCGCCTATGCCTAGTCGAGAATTTCTCTGGGATGTTTTTCAAAGGTATTTTAAAACTTATTTATTTATTAATAGTTTTAATATTGAAATATAATTTATAGTATAATATAATATATTAAATATGATATAAATATTGGTTAAATTTATTATTTAACTATAAATATAAATGAAGTTCTCGAAAAGCAACTACATATTTCAATATATATTTTTTAAACATTTTATTATAATTTGTATATAATGAGAAAATAAGAAAAAATATCTCAATAACATTAAAAAATAAAATATTTTATCAAAAATTTTTCATATAGATTTGAAAGATTTTTGTAATTCTGTTATGATGTATAAAAAAGAGAAAAAAAATAATAAAAAACTTCGTTACATCTTAATGATTTCGAATAAGTTGGGATAATAAGTTAGAAATTTTTAATTCATGGTCAATATAAGATTGCAAATTATAAAGATACAATAATTTCTTTTCGATTTTTTTTTAAAGGTTATAAAAATTCAATTACCTTTTCATTTTTTTTATACTATTGAATAAAAAAAGTTTCATTGAAATCTATTTTTTCCAAAAATTTTAATTATTCATACAATAATATGAATATTTATTTTATAAATAATTATAAATAACAAATAAAATTTTATTATTAATTATTAATTAAATCGCACATACAAAAGTTTAATATTCTTTAATTTGTATATTGTAGAGTTGATAGAGACAGATCTGGTGCAATTACTGCAGATGAATTACAACAAGCTCTTTCAAATGGAACATGGACACCATTTAATCCAGAAACAGTGCGTTTAATGATTGGTAATTATTGTAATTTTATTGTTTATAATTATACAGACAAAATTGTAATATTAATTTTTTTAAAATCTTATATTAATTTTTAAGATTTTAATATGTTAATACATAAAAAAATATTTAACAGAACTTCTTGAGTAGATTTGCATGGTCTTATAATTACAATTTTAATATATTTTTAGTTCATTTTATTGATACAGGTATGTTTGACATTGACAAAACTGATCCTGATTCTTCAGGTATGTTCGATAAAAATCAAAAGGGTACAGTTAGTTTTGAAGAATTTGGAGCTTTATGGAAATACGTAACAGATTGGCAAAATTGTTTTCGATCATTTGACCGGGATAATAGTGGAAATATTGACAGAAATGAATTAAAAACAGCTCTTACAAATTTTGGATATAGATTATCAGATCAAATTATAGATACTCTTATACGCAAATATGATAGAGCTGGTCGTGGAACTATATACTTTGATGATTTTATTCAGTGCTGTGTAGTTTTATATGTAAGTATACATTTGAATATAGCATTTTGATATAGATCATATTCTACATTTAAATTACTATAAAATAAATTAATTTTTTTTATCTTTTAGACTTTGACTTCTGCCTTCAGACAATTGGATACAGATCTAGATGGTGTTATTACAATTCACTATGAACAATTCCTAGGCATGGTATTCAATCTTAAAATATAAATCATTTTGTGCTTCAATGTTATTCTTGCCTTTGGCATTATATTCTTATACAAATACGAATTATTTGATGCCAAATTTGAAAATATGAATTTATTCATAAAAAAACTTTTCATATCAAAATTAAAATCTTATACATTTAATATGCTTGTATGTAAATCTTAATTAAGAAATCATAAATAATCAGTTATATGTATATATAAACATTCCTAAAAAATGTACACATATATCTAAATTTGATTATAAACATAAACATTTAATTTTTATTCTCTATTTGTTATAGGAAAACGAAAATAATAAATATTTAATTATTCATTAATTGAAAGAAAAGAAATATTTAAAAAAATAAATAATAGGTTTTAAAAATGAAAAATATTTCAGTTAAAAAAAAAAATATGAAAGATCGTCTATAACATATATTTTTAAACAATAGTTTTCATTAAAATATATAAAGAAAAACAAATGTCAATTATATATTAAAAATTATTTATCATATTATCTTTAGATATATATTTCGATGTTTTAATACATTTTAATGTATGTTATATTTTCTTATTGCAGCATTTCAAATGTCTATTTAAGTCTTATCTAAATAAATAATTAAGAATTTGAAATTATTTTAAATATATATTCTTAAAATATCATCATAAATAATTATTATGTACTACTTCAAATTATGTATGAAATCTACATTTCTGTAATTTTTTATCATTATTAAATTAATTACAAACATATATTTTAATTGAATGTATTTTTATTTTTTTTATTCCATTCATTTTTTTTTTTTTTTTTTTTTTTTTT